CCCACAATCACTATAATTACTTTATCTGAAAAAGAACTTTATCTTTGCCACTCTAATGAGATCCTCGGCCATGGAATAGCATTAAAGCTAAAAGGCTTCTGATGAGAAATGGTGCAATAAATAGAGGAAGATGTAAAACGCCCGGCGTGATGGATGCGATTCGAAATCGGCTTATAGATTGGGGACAATTTATGTGAGGAAATCTATTAAGAAATACAGTCTAAATGCATAATCATTCCTAAACTTAATATTTGTTAGAGATTAATTGTTGGTCGGGAGCCTACTGACTTCTCTTAATATCCAAACCTACCCGCACACATGTGATAAAGCCCGGAAACATATCTAAGCTTAGCGAGCGGTAAGCACGCCGACCCGCCTTTTATTTATCGAGGCAAGTGTCGGGCGTTTCCGAGCTCGCGTTGTTGAGTGGGAGAGTCACTGCGAGTCCTTTTACCTTGTGACGTATTTCCCGTTCGTAAGGCCCCCGTTGGCTGTCCCGGTGGGGAGGGCGCAGCGGGACCTGCGGTCGCCGACTTGCGTTACGCTGCTGCTGGGCGGCAGAGGAGCCCCTCTGCCCGTGGTGTGTGGCTTTCTCCACGTCGGGCCTCGGGCAGGGGGGGAGCTCGCTGCAGGCCCCGCCTCTGCCGGTGCTGGGCGCCCGCTCTTGCCCTCCCACCAGAGCTCTCTTCTTGACTATATTTGTACTTGTATTTTTATGAATGGGATCAGAGCTTCAACATTTCAACATTTTGGGTTATGCTGGTTTCTTTTTTAATCTTTATTTTTAGTAATTTTGTTTCTCCAGAAATGTTTTAAAATTTCCCAACCATTTCCTCTGCTAAAGATTTACCCGTTTACCAAAAATGTGTCTTTACAGCCGGTTATAAAGTCTGCAGCATCTTCTGTTGAATTGGATTGTTGCGATGGCTTTCGAAGGCGTCTCAGCGTGAGCTGCGCAGTGTTGTCTTCCTCAGAGCCTCTGAGATGTTCAAGTCCATTGTCTTCCCCCCGCTTTTCTGCTGCACGTAGAGGGAGTCAGGGAAACGGAGGAAAAGGCAGGAGGCTCCGCACCCAGCACGCCAGGGGCAGGGGAGGGATTGAAGAGCTCAGAGCACCAAAGACAGGGCTACACATTTTATAATCA